CCCCAAAACCCCAAAACCCCAAAACCCCAAAACCCCATTTAGGCAGATATTGGTTGAAATTTTGTGAATGGGGTTCTACGAAGCTGAGTTCAAACCTTGTTGCTTCATATTAAGGGCTTCGAGAGTAGATGATTTTACTAGTCTGAATTCAGCAAGCTCATAAGGCTCGAGCCCATGGAAATCTGAGGGCTTCGAATTCTGTATTATGTATTCACAAGTCTATATATTAGATTCAAATCTTTACTTCTATGTCATATCTATGCTCTTTCAGAATGGTCTTGCTATCGTTACATTTAAACTCATTAGTGTCCTTGTTGGATGACTTCATTGTGTCAATGAATTTATTCTTGAAAAGTCCTTCTCCTTTGTGCTTAGAAGTCTTGTTCAGAGGCAAATATCCATTAAATCTGTTCCTCAATACCATTGCAATTTCATAGTCATTGTAAATGTTAAGAATGGTATGTCTCACAAGTTTTATATCAACCACATCGATAGATCCATGCAAGAGGTGGGGGATTGATGAAGTTGAGAAAATATCATCAAGAATTGCACCTGGAGCTGTAAGTCTCTTATTAGCAGCAGGACTAACTTCGAGATCCTCATAGATAAACAGAGGAGAGTTCAGGATACTCCCAGCAAAGTTTCTTCTGTATGCACCATCGTTCATATCTCTAAAGAATTAAGTTAAAACTTACAGTCTGAATATAAAAGAATTGTAAGTGGCGTGGCTATCAATAGGAGTTTCATCTACACCTTTTAGATCATTTGACCCAATATTTCTGAAGACCATAAAGTCAATCTGGTTTTGTGAACTGAGAGTGCACCCAATCGGATTTGAATTAGCCCATGAGAGTTGGTGGATTTCATCCACATCCTGTTTCTTGACAGTCTCAGAGAGCATTCCTCCATTAACACACGGAGATGTATAATATCCATATAGCTCTTCAGGTCGTATGTGTTGAATATCCAGATTTTTATCAAAAATTGGCCTCTCTACTAACTTCATGGAATCATCAATGAAAGTCTTGAACTCTGAATCTTTCGCTTGCTTGTCCTTCTTAATCCCAAAGCTGACTTCCCAGACCTCTGATGTGAATGAATGGACTTCTAAGAAGAATTGTTCGAGGTTTTCATCCAGCCCAACCTGGTCGATAGAATAAGTCTTTAGGAATCTAGTGGCCCCGCCACCGTGTTCTACTTGGATGATGGATTTTAGATTGGGCAGTTCGTAGTACCATATGCTTGTTAGATTAGTCTTGACTTCGATTTGGGCAGACCTTGGGTTGAACAGATAAAGTCCTGACCTATATGGGAGTAATAAGAGAGCTTACCTTGATTTTCTAGTGTCAAAAGCAGTGAATCTTTCTGAAAGATTACTCTTAATCTTCCTTCTGAAGTTATTAATACTTCTCAATTTCCCATCCTTTCCTATTTCTAACTGTATGGCTGGATTCCTAATCATACGATGAGTTTTAGATGTCAGAGGTTCTGATTTAGTGCTTAAAGTATTGATATGTTCTTTGTCAGAGCATTCAAACGAGCCTTTCTTGCAAGGAATAATGTACATGTGAATGTCACTAAACGCAGGCATCTCGATATGAACAAATAGCTTTCTGACTGTCTGGAGTTCATGGCTTGAAGTATCCATATCTTGTATGTCAGCATAAGATGAGTGCACATTCTTGAACAATGTATCATTGTTGCCATTAAGATAATGCAAAAACACTGCGTATGTATCATCAACCTCTAATGATGAAGTAAGAGTCACATTGATGACTTCTGATCTACGATCAGCAGTAGGGTTTACCACAGTGTAATGGTCAAATGTGTTGCTTCCGAGCTTATCAACTGCTGCTTTAAGTTGATCGTGGATAGATCTTTCAGCTTCAAGTCCTAAGTTATCATTAATGAGACTGTAAGCTTTTGTTAAAAACTCATTCGATTGTTTAAGAATGTTGTAATAGTCCTTCTCAGTCACAGCAGTGTGTGTTCCAGTGATAGCATCATGATGCATCATTATTGCCCATCTTTTCTCTGCTTCATTAATAACTTCATTTATTTGATCTATAGAAGCTTGTGTGGTTGATTTAAAATTAACACTTCCTTTATTTCCCTGTACAGCTTTAATGGTTAGATAGGCCTTGATGCTCTCTAAACCGTCATATTAATTTCTTACCAAGATTGTTGAATGTGTGTCTGATCCATCTTTTCATATGCAATCTTGTAGAATAGTAGCCTGTCCAAAAATCATTCCAATCCCATCCAGGCCAAGTTTCTTGAAAAGGCATGAAGTCTCCTTTAAATACTCCCAAGTCAAGGTTAAGAGACTTGAAGTCTTCAAAATATTGATACAGACTGCTGTATTTGATTTCAATGTCATATCCTTTGTTAGTTCCAAGATTCTCAAGCTCTGTAATCAAATCGTCAAAAGCTTTGAAAACTTGATGTCCACTCTGGAATGCGAAATCATCGCCTGATGCTGCCATGATATGGTATTCTGGCACAGTACCTCCAGAGACACTAAAGATAAGTGATGCGAACTTACTTGTTGAGTGAGTCTATAACTGTTTGAATTTTATAATCCCAAAATTGTTGTGCATAGGCTTTCTTGTTTGTTCCAATAAATCCAGAATCAAGCCTTAATCCTGGTAAGGTGTAGAAATATTGTAATATGTAAGTTAATATTCTATCATCTTCTTTGTTCTCATCAACCTGATGCCCTTCCCAGCAGAAATTGTATCCTTCTTTGTCTTTGAGCACTTTCTTGAAATCATTAGAGATTCTATTTTCAATGAAAGCAGTAAATCCTAGTTTCTTCAACACAGAAGCAGTGAGCCCAGTGCTTCCAAATGGATCAATTTGCCATCCAATGTGGGGTCTTGTTCCAAATTCTTTTTGAATAAAATCTAGTCCAAGCCTCATCTGGGCCATGCTCTCTTTGTATGAAGGAAGGGCTTCGTCATTAATAACCCAGCCTCCATTAATGAAAATGAATTTTCCTTCTCTAACAAGTTTCTTCACATCATTTCTGATAGAGGTTGACTGGTCTTGCCACCACCTGTAAAAGAAGGCCATGTCTGACCAATGGAAAGTGTAGTTCTTTGGGTTATCAGATGCCGAATCTTTTATCAATGCATCTACGACAGTTGTCAAAGTTTTATTTGTACAACACTTAAAGTATTCTTCAAATGGTTTCAACCATCCAGCATCATTATGCGAATGAGTTACCATATGAACTGTAACCTTCTTGTTAGCACTTACCAAGGTTCAAACCAACAAGAAAACCAAGCATATCTTTAAAGAAATATTCATTTCAGTTAGAATTTTCATTATAATCTTTTCAAAAATATTTTTTGTTATAGGGGTTTTGGGGTTTTGGGGTTTTGGGGTTTTGGGGTTTTGGGGTTT